TATATATTTATATGTATTTGACCCAGTGTTCCACAGTAAAATATATGACTGATGTTCTTGTTTTGTTTCATTTGATAACTGGCCCAAAGCTGATAGAAATGTATATAAATATGTATAGATCTTTTGTTAAGTCTCCCTAAAGAACACAAAGGCATCACCCTGATGTGAATATTACTGCGTCTCCTCCAGTAATAACTGTATTGATTACCGATACCGAGACCATCTGCTTTTTCATATTTTTGTACAATGTGTTGTAAATATGTTGCATTATGCCGGGTATTTTGATATAAATCTGAATAAATATCCATGTTGCTGTATCGCATGTTCATCATCCTCCATGTGGAATTATTTCACGTGTGGCTTCATTTATTTTAATAACTTCAATGGAATGAAGTGAAACTCCTTCATGTGTGCAGAACATCAACATCAACGGGTCAAGTTATGGTTAAACTTGGAAAATAGCATTATTAGTATTACTGTTATTAGTATAGTTATATTTATTATTATTATCATTACTATCATTGACGTTATTATCATAAGTATAATTATTATATTCATTATTACCATTATCATTAACATTAGTGTAATATATTTATTTGTATTATCATTATTAGTACAGTCATATTTATTATTATTACCATCATAGTCGTTATAAGTATAATTATTGTATTTATGATGTTGGGACCGTGTGCTTAGAACACAACCAGCCTGATTTGGTTAAATCCACACGTAGCGAGACGTTAGGTGTCGCTACGTGTGGATGTAAACACTGAGTTCTCATTGGACGAGGGCCAGAGGCACCGCATCGGATCACCTGTTCAACGGCCTGAAGTCACAGCATAAAAAACAGCGTGTCCTCCAACTCATCGTCGTCCGGTCCGACTCGCGTTTGTGAAAGGAGGCACAACGTTGGTGCTTTTAGAGAAAGGTCATAGAAAGGTCACAGAAAGGTCTTCGATGGACGAACAATAGACTCTTGGGTTTTTCTGGATCCTGAAGAAGAGAACAGATACCTCGTGTGCCCCGTTCTCGTTGCTGCTCATATGGAAGAAGACCTCTGACACACACAGTTTATTGCAGCTTGAAGCTCCGGAGCCGAGTTTTAACCAAGAAACACAAAGAACCACATCGACCGCTCCGAAGGCGTCTCACAGTAGGAGGCTTGTGTCTGGGCAGAGTTCGGTCATCCTGTGTTTATTACCTTGTTTTGTTTGAAGTTTACCGTTTTGTTATAACGCGTTATTGTGTGTGTTTACGGACCGCCGAGTTCCGTTAGTGCTGTGAAGAAACTACTGTTACGTTCCATACTGCTGCAATAGTGTTGAGCCCAGGGTAGGAAATTTACAATTTTTTTAGGGGGCAATTTTTGCCCCCACTGACTGAAGTCCAGGGCATTTAAAACAAAATTGGGGTCACTTTTTGAAACTTGTGAAATAACATTTAACCTTTGTTCAAAATAATATATACTTATTTAGGCTTACAGTATATGAGTCAAATGGCAATAATAAGACTATTAGGCAGTAGTCTACAGATTCAAAGTGTTTTCTTAGATTTTTTGAACAAAAAACAAACAGAAATCAGACAATCATATTCAATCATATTCAATTTATTCTTATTTCTTTGTGGTTATTTATTGTTATTACATTCTTTAAACAACTATTAACACTTATTAAGTCAACGATGCCTTGATTACATATGCATCAGTCATTGTGTGGAATTATTGAGAAAGACATTTTTATAGCACCTTAAAAATTTAAAAAATGTGCCATTTGAAGGTACAAATTCAGTTCAGAGTTTTTACTTAGTAAATATCTTAATTGACTGTCGGTCAGGTATTGTTCATTAGCAACCCTCAAATCAAAGAATAAAGACACTTTACCCACAATTTAGGTGTATTTTCCCTTTAACTCACGAGATGCAGGCAGCATGTTTTATACTTAATGTGAATATAATTCATACTTTGTTGGCATCTTATTCTGAAAACCGGATGTTCGTCTGAAGAAACCGGATGTTGTTTCACGTTAATCTTTCCGCTAACTTTCACGGTCCTTCGCTCGCTCCCGATCTGTGCCGTTTGAATGCGTTTACCGTGAATGTCAGCATAGAGGAGCACTAACATGTAAGTGTCTGCTGAGTTGACCGCAGTCTCGGGTCTGATGAAGAAGCGCTCCATTTATTTATTCCTTTAGAACGTTCGGTTCTTCACGCACACGCAACATCAGTCAAGGCGAAAATCAAAAATTCTATGGCAACTGGACCGGGTCATAGAGGCTACGATGTTTTTGACAAGTTCATTAAATTATCATTATTATTAGAGGAAATTATGGGGGCATTTTAGATTTCTTAGGGGCAGTTTTGCCCTTTGCCCTCGTGTATTTCTGATGCTGGCTGAGTTAGATCATCACCGCGAGTGAAGCTGGTAATTGTGTCTTTACCAGTAAAAACAACCCGAGTGAACGAGTTAATGAGTGAATGAACTTCATTGATCCAGATCAAAGAGCCGAGTGTGTTTCCGCCTCATGAATCCTCTGAGTCTCTATTTATTGATTTATTCACACAGAACATGAGAACACGTTCTCCTCTCGTGGTTCTCAAATATATTTACATTCACAGAGAAAATAAAAAATAGTTGTTTTTTTGTACATCCTGTAACATTTCGTTTGTACACAGCGAGTCTACTCGACCTCGGCCACGTGAGCCACCTCCACCTCCACGGTCTGGACAACCTCGGCCCCGTCCTCCATCTTGGTGTCGGTGAGGCTCTGCTGGGCCAGGACGTAGTTCACCACCTGCATGATGCCCTGATCCGACAGCGTCGCCGCCGCGCCGTCGCCCGCCGCCTGCGCGGCCTGCACCGCCTCCACGGCCTCCACCGTCTCCTCCGTGATCAGCACCGTCTCGATCTCCTCAGATGGCGGCGGGCGTGCCGGACGCAGCTCTGGCGGCAGCTCGGAGGCCAGGATGCTGACGGCGTGCTCCACCTGCGTGCCCTGGTTGTGGAACTGCAGCGTGTCCTTCTCCAGCATGATCTTACCCGGCAGGTTGTCCCCGTGGAACTTGGCCATGTGCTTGCGCAGCGTGCGGGCGTCTATGTGCGCCTCCTGGCACATCGGGCACACGTATGGACGCTCGCCCGTGTGCGTGCGGACATGACGCTTCAGGGAGCGGGCGTCGGCCCACGCAACGCCGCACGTCAGGCACTCGAACGGCTTCACTCCTGGAGGAGAGAGGAGAAGGAACCATCAAAGGACGGGAGGAGGAAGAGAAGGAAGAGGATGAAGAGGATGAAGAGGAGGTCTTACCCTGGTGGTTGTTGACGTGCCGTCTGTACTCCCTCAGCTGGGTGAACTTCCTTCCACACTGCTCACACTCTCTCTCCAGGTTCTGCTTCACTCGTCCTTTCTTCCCATGAGTCGCCTTCTTCACGTGTCTCCTGAACAAAGCCTTCTCAAAGAACTCCTTACCGCACACGTTACACCTGAAGACACACGGGGACACACGTTACACCTGAAGACACACGTTACACCTGAAGACACACGGGGACACACGTTACACGGGGACACACGTTACACCTGAGGGCACACGTTACACC